TGATCCCTAGTACTTTCTGCTGCAAAATCTGGAACCAGATAATACAACCCACCCTGCTCCTTAGCAACTCCAATCATCTTCCCCGCGGCGAGATCCTGAAAAACACAATGAGTAAGAAAAAAGGTTACAGTGCAATTCAAATATGTAGTAAGCTTATGAGTAGAAAGGAGATTGATAGATAGGCGGGGAACATGGAGAGCATTTTTGAGACACAAGGAGGGTTGGATTTTAATATTGCCAGAACCTGCAACTGATGTGTATGATCCATCAGCTACGGCTATAGTACGGAGACCAACAATAGGATTATAAGAAAGAAAAAGATCATTGCAGCAAGTCATATGATCAGCAGCACCAGAATCCACAATCCATGAAGTTTTGAAATCAGTACAAGAAGCGATAAAAGAATGAGTGCATGAGTTCTTACCAGTCATGGCCAAAGTACCAGTACCAGAAGGTTTATTGAGGGAGTCATATACGAACCTGACCCGTTCCAATTCCTCACGACGAACAGTAGTAAACTCACCAGGCATTTGTGTCTCATTCACCGCAGGAATGTCTGAAGGGGTCAAGAATGATTGACCACGTCTCAAATCTTCACGTGAGGGTGGCTTACCAAGCTTCTCTAAAACCTGCTGCCTCCCATGAAGACGATAACAAACATCTTTTGTGTGACCTGGTCTTTTACAATAATTGCACTAACGCCCCTCTTTGTTGGGCTTAAAGGAAGAAGACCCCTGAGGTATTACAGAAAGGAGACCCCTGAGGTGACTTAGCTGAGATCATAGCAGACTCGTCAGAAGCAGTTAAAGTAGTGACTTTAGATGAGATCATGACAGATCCTTCAGACAACTTGGTGTCCATCATGACATTCCTACGACTTTCTTCACCCCTGACAATATGAAAAACTTCAGAAAGAGAAGGTAATTTTTCCTTACCAAGGATTTGAACCCGAATAGGGTCATATTCTGAATTGAGGCCACAAAGAAAGTCAAAGATCCGATGTCGTTCAACAAAGGAAGCCAAAGTGGCTGCATCCTTGCTGCACTCCATCTTCAAAATATCATACTGATCTAGCTCAGTCCATAATCCATTCAGATTTCCATAATACTCTGTCACAGATAAAGAGCCCTGCTTGGTAGAAAAAATCTTGTTCCTTAGATCATAGCAAGTGGCAACATCTTGTTTCATTGAATAGGTCTGATGAAGAATTTTCCAGATCTCAAGAGCAGTAGGTAAGAACATGCAATGTTGACTAACCTCAGGAGTCAGAGAATTCCATAGCCATGTCATAATAAGAGAGTCTTCATCATCCCAATCAGCAAATTTTGGATCTGTTTTGGCAATAACAGGTCCTTCAAGATGAGCAATCTTACGACGCCCTTTGAGAATTGTACGAACCAGCTGAGACCAATGCAAATAATTTTTTCCATTGAGACGATAATTCTGATGGAGAGCGGGCAGATCGTTTGGACTAAGAGAAGCAGCCATAGAGGATGTAACAGGTGGCTGAATTATCGGATTATCAGGCTGAATTGTCGGATTATCTTCAACGTCTGACATAAAATTTGCTAAAAAACTGACTGATCAGAACGATAAAGGTCCAATGTCACTGGAATAGTAACCAGGAGGCCGGAACAGTAACAAATATGGCCGGAACAATAACAAGGTGGCCGAAACAGTAACGAAGAGAAGAAGAAACACCGTGGGACGGCTGCAACGGGATCAAAAACCCAAGATAATCACAGATCCACACTCAGAAGGAGGAGGTGAGCTGGTCTGTACTGGCCGCGAGTGAAGGGGGTGTTCCACGCGCCACTGCAGCTCCGGGAATGGTGCGTCTCTTCCACGCGCGTGAGGGAGTGTTGGACAGGATCTCAAGGTGGGTCCTGGACAGAGGAGGTCGCCTCGTCGTGGCGGTCACAGCCGTGGGTGAATTGCCGGAAAACTCGCCGGAGACTGTGGTCAACGACGGTCAACGGCGATCAACAATGGAATTTCAACGACAACAGTGATTGGAATGTCGAACGGTGATCCTCTCGGTCCAAAAGGTCCTCCGGAAATATATTTCGACAGCAGCTAATGGCGGCGAGAGGCAAAATATAAGGATTCTCTTTTTTAAGACGGTAGATGCGGAAGCAGAGCCCTCAGGATCGAGAGCTTTGATACCAAATTGAAAGAAATATATTTGTATTATAAAACTGTGTTATCTGTACAAGAGTTCTCTATTTAAAGAGAATAAAGAGACCTAATGGGCTAAGCCCAAATACTGACTATTACAAAATTACAAAATAATAAAATAATTCTAGTATTTACAATATTTTTTCTATAAAAATAAAAATTGTTCACATTTTTGTTCCAAATAAATCGACATTCATTATTCAAGAAGGGGCAAATAAGTCACACTATGTACATATGAAAACCCATTCAGAAACAATAAAAGTGACACAATCTAGAAATGCATTATGTGGAAAGGACAAAAAGGTCTACAGGAAAGTGATTGATTGACAACTCTTTATTACTTGGTAGGTCAATAGCTAATGCACTCGGATCGTCATGTAGGTTGTAAATGTAACTTTATCAAGGCACACATTTTGTAGAAAAATAAATTTTTATTTTTCACTCTGTTAAGATTGGATCAGATAATAACAGAACAAGAAAGGAAACAAGGGATTTTGGCGCAGATAAATCTGGATTTTCTGTATTAATATAAGAAACAAATTACACCTATGAATACGAAGAAAGGAAATTACTGAGCAACTATTACATCAAGTAGCTACAGATTATAGAAAAAGAAGAACTAGGAGTAACAGAAATACCGCACATTCGAGAGGTGCAGCTCTCTCCCAAGTCTAGTCCCAAATCCAGCCTCCTTTTTCCCCATGCCTTCTCGTGACTTTTATTCCTTCTAACTAACTACCTTAGCCACCTCAGCAACCAACTTCCTTCTCACTTCTAACAAGCTCATTCCTATAGAATATCCTAAACAACTGCGTCATCATTCTGCAATATTCTTCTATAACGTTGCCTAGTATACACTTTAATAGGAGTCCTATCAATACTCCCCCCTTTAAGCACCTTGTCCTCAAGGTACAGTTCAGTCACAAAGACCCTCCTTCTGGATCGCTTTGGGTGAATTGTGAGGGCCAACTTATGCATGAAGAATAGTAACATCCACCAGGATCCCATTGCCCTTTTTCGATCCTAACCTTAAGTTTTGATGTGGCAACCAGTTTGTCACTTTCAGCATCAACAAGTCTTATCCTCTTCCTAACATGTGCCACTATAGCATTTTCAACAGCAAGGATAACCTCCAAAAATAGTTGAATATCATGTGCTCGTATAAAAGACTCAATTGTATCACTGTTTAGCCATTCCTTAAAATGAGCCCTGGCCACTAGTTTCCAAACAACATCTTTGTAAACTGTGGAAGCTAACTTTGCATCTCTATTAATGCTACTAATATTAACCAACAATGCATTGATAACTTGAACATCACAGTGGAATTTCTTAAAAATTGCTATTTCTTCCTCATACATCTTAGCTTCATAAACCATATCTCCTACTACAAATCCATCAAAATTATCAAACCCCTTAATATACTCCATAACTCTTTTGATTTTAACATAAAATAACCTAACCAATTGAAGTTTGCCCTCAAGGCAGAATTTTGAAGTAAAATCTTCTCAAGTATCTCAACCAATTCACAGGACAGATCAGTTGTCATGAGAGGCTTTACAAAGATGGTCTTTCTTTTTGAATTTGCACCATGTTGAATACCACTAGCACTTTTAGCTTCACCATCAGATGTCAAATAGGACTTATTCTTCAATAAAACTTCAAGTAAATTATTGCTTAATAGATTCCAAATATGTTTTTCCAAAATCTCTTGAATAACATACCTGACGTTCTCATCACGTAGCCTTCTAGCAAGTAATCTACATTCTCTATTATTTTGTCTGTGCTCCCAACACTCCTTCAAGGGTTTGACCATTTTTCTTACTCAAGTAAGGGCTTGCATCAACTAGTTAGTAGCTTGGGCTTAACCCACAAATTGACCCTATTCCAATTCTGATCTAACTTCCTTCTGCATTGCTGGTTGTCGCCTCACGTAGTTTCTTCTCTTATACCCATTTCCAACGGTCATCAACCATGGACACATGCTGGCTGCGGAGTTCTTAAGGGTTATGTCTCTCTTCGTCAAGCATGAAACAAAGACCAGCTCTTCCTTAGCCGCAAAGGTTCGATCGTTCAGGTTCCATGGATAGCACCCAAATAGTTTGGGTTGAATTTGTGTAGGCATACTTATGGGCTCACAAGCCCAAATTTCAAATGAAATTGTTACATGTAGAGGACGTGCTTTGGACAAATTAATAACAATTTGGGCTTGATCCATTGTGTCAACAAATTGACCCAATTTCTTTACTCCGCCCTAATTTTCCAATTCGTCTTTTGCACGCATTTGTAGCTTCAACCGTTCATGGTTGTGTTGCTCCGCTTTCTCAAAGCGCTTCTTGTCCAGTGGCTTCTATGGCTGTGGCATCGTTGGCTCCAGCGAAATCGAAACCTTCCTCACACTCTTCTTATCGTTTTGTTTCCCTCCTTCCTTGTACTCTGCATTTGCAAAACCAAGTGGCTGATTTTTATCTACAGCCATGTTTCCTTGTCGGCTTCGCCCTTTTAGGGTCTTGACCATCTTTTGATTTTTCCTTCTCTTTTGGTTTTTAAACTCCTCATTAACTGTGTTTTTCTCCATAACAACAATAATCATGTGCTTCGTTTTAGTCTCCATCTTCTCATTTACTTCTATAATTTCTCGCTTCTCCAACACTGAATGTTTTTGCGTATCAGATTGTGGCTCCTAAGTCTGATTTCATATCTTCATCTTCCAAGCATATCTCCGGTTGATATCGCCGTAGAAATGCCCTGAAAAATGTCCACCAATTCACATTGGGATTAAGCCAACTCCAGCATTTGTACCAACTAAAAGCATGTCCTCTAACCCCCTCACCGCCTCTATCAGCTTCTCATCTTCAAGAATTTTTTCTACCTGGAAATATTTTTCCAGATAGATTAGTCATCCCCAAGCTTCATCGTCTTCTCCATAGAACTTTGGGACTTCTCTTCTAGTTCTTAGGCGATCCATCATTTGTTGCAAAGCTTGGTCCAGGCGCAACAATTTTCTTTTAAAACCATCTTCTGGATTCTCCCTTCTTAGCATAGCCATGGTTCACAGAGCTCCTAGATCGGAAGTTCTTATATCAAATTTTAAGATTGGATTAGATAATAACAGAAAAAGAAAGGAAACAAGGGATTTTGGCCCAGATAAATCTAGATTTTTTGTATTAATATAAGAAACAAATTACACCTATGAATACGAAGAAGGGAAATTACTGAGCAACTATTACAGCATGTAGCTACAGATTACAGAAAAAGAAGAAAAACTAGGAATAACATAAATGCAGCACATTCGAGAGGTGCAACTCTCTCCCAAGTCCAGTCCCAAATCCAGCCTCCTCTTTCCCAATGCCTTTTATTCCTTCTAACTAACTTAGCCACCTCAGCAACCAACTTCCTTCTCTCTTCTAACAAACTCATTCCTCTAGAATATTCTAAACAATTGAGCTATCATTCTGCAATATTCTTCTATAACGCTGCTTAGCGTGTACACTTTTATATGAGTCTTATCACACTCTTTTGGATTTGACAATTCCCTTTAAAAACTAATTGTAGAATATTCTAGATAGTATTTATTGATGTAGTTAGTAGTTGTATATTTAGTTGGTAGTTGTATATTTATTGATGTAGTTGGTGGTTGTATATTTATTAAAGTAGTTGAGGTAGTTGGATGTACTCAATATAAAAAGGACCCATTGGGTCTCTCAATGAATCAAGAAAGATATTCAGACAAAACACTTCTTCCACTTCTTCTTTTCTCCATGGTATCAGAGCTACCTCAACACTTCTTCCACTTTTTCCATTCAACACTTCCCAATGGGTCCTTTTTATATTGAGTACATCCAACTACCTCAACTACTTTAATAAATATACAATCACCAACTACATCAATAAATATACAACTACCAACTACATATACAACTACTAACTACATCAATAAATACTATCTAGAATATTCTACATATTCTACACTAATACCCTTGCTTTGACAAGTTCTTACAAGCTTAAGATAATAATTTAAATTTCCGTTTATATTAGCTTAAGAGCATAAGAGGAATCTAGCTAATATCGGTGTTGCTAGAGAAATTTCAAACATTGTTGCTTAGAATGAAATCGTCACATATAATTGAATCCATTCAACTATCACAAATGCAGTATGACAAACAGGATAGCATTATCCTTGAACCTACAGTAATGAGACACGAAACTCTCAAAACCAAAACCTACAGGAGAAATTTATAAAAAATCAATGGGGTCATTAAGCAACCAAAGGATCTCCAAGTAACGCCAAGTAGTCCTTTTATATCTTTACCGCAATCCCATTAATCAATCAATGAAAATTATTAGAAGTGGACATGATCTAAATATTTAAGTCAAACGAAGATTAAAGAAAATCCAAGTCACCATGTTTTAAATCCCTGACAGCAGAATATTGCCAGCCATGCGAAAATTTTCAGATACAAATCAGAGCTTCTATATGTAAGACGTTAGCTTTAGACAAGAAAATGAAGTACGTGAGGCCTGAACATACCCGCGTCCACCTAGGATTACTTGTATTGCCATATGCCAAGTTAATTCTGTTAAAGGGGATTCCTGAAGGTGTATCCCAAGCAGGCAACAGCTTATCTGCAAGATCTCTAGCCTTTTCAAGGAAGACTTTGTCACCAGAGAGATCATAAGCACTAAGAAGTCCGCCCAGAACCCTGAATATAACCAAAATACTAGACAGATGAGAGAAAATGGACTAGAAAGCAGAATCTGATATCATTAAAGCTACAACAACTACCCCAGGGGCAGGGGGACAGAGAAAGCACTTCAATAAAAAAAGATTGAACCTTCTAATTCAACCTTATGGTTGTCTCGAACACACTAACTTCAATGTTCTTGTTAAAATACAATGATTTTGCAATCCACCTGCAACATTTATTATATTAGATTAGATGCTTTGAATGTAATCAATCCTTCAATACAGAAAGTACAACTATAAAACAAAAACGACAGCACATCAAAATCCACACACACCTACTAAAAGAATCATTACAAGATATCATCTAAAACACAGAAAATGGGGAAATCCTTTCTCCTTTTTTGTTTTTCCAATTCAACCCAAAGCAGAGTTGAAAAAGAATGTAAAAAGAAAGCAAGAATATATACACATATTTTGAAGCACGCATATATAAGCAAAACAACTATATTAAAAATAAAGTAGAACTTACTCTCTAGCTCTTTTGAACTGGGCATCAAGACCCATTATAAATAATGTGTCAAGCGAATCTACTAAAGTTGCCCCTAGGCCGCCAAAACTGTCAACACCGTTCATTGATTGTGGCTGTGAGAGGAATATCAAACTAATTAGTTGCATAATTCAGATATTATCAAGGAGGGAAAGGAAGAGCTAAAATGTGAATACAAGATAGCAAATATTTGCATGGGGAAGACCATTAGCATAAAAGACAAACAATATTTAAAAATGAACATGCACTGACACATTTTGTTCCTGCTTATCATGTGCACTCTTGACAAATCTCAGTTGCAGAGAGAATGTGTACATATGATTGAGTCTTGTAATGTAAAAATTGATATATCCCTTGATGGATCAAGAGTTGAGTGAAGTTCCTCCTCTCAGTATGGGGCATATATATCTCCTTTGTAAGCTTAGCCAAAAGGACTGCTTCCACCTCCTCATGAATTAAATTTTCAGGCTTTGCAATCATACTCCACCCATGGCTACACAACAAGGTGAAGCGGGGTGGAATATTGTTGAGGGGCAGGAATGGGTTTGGGGTCATCTAAATAAGTGTCATGCCATAGCTAGCAATGTCGTTAATGTTTATTCTTATTCAGTAATATCTTTTTACAAAACATAATTGGTCCTCACTGATTTAACGATTATAATTAACATGTCATAATTTATATGAGATGATAAGATTGTAATTCATTATTATATAAATTTACAATAAAAATATTCATATATGCAGGATGGGGTGGTTAGGGTGCAGGTTTTAATATTTTCTTTTTTTGGATACTATGGTGGCACTGAGGTTCGAGCCTATAACTTCATGCAAACTACCCAAGGTTTTAATATTTTATTGCTGGACAGGTTGAGTGTTGTTTTGAGGGATGTGGGACAAGGTCAGGTTGGGCAAAAGCCCGTCCCATTGCCAAGCCTACAAATTTATAAATAGGTTCACAAGTTAATATCTTAACTGGTTATAGTTGTAACAAAAAATGTGAAAGAATAACTTTTACTTCCTAGTCATGCTTCTGGGCTTTACATTCTGACCATCTTGCCAGTTAAAAGAGCAACAACGCAAATGTCATGAATATATATTATCAAAATCCAACTTAATGAAGTGAAATGCAAGGCTAGTTGATCAACTTGTTCCTTGGCAATGAGTTACTACTCTAATAAAACATAAGATAACTCAAATACCTTAATTCAAAAGGAGGGGAGAAGCACAGCAAAGCAAGCAATAGACAAAAAAATCATCACATCAAGCAGTAGATTAACTAAAATATTAAAAAAATTATGGAAAACCTTAAGTTCATCCTTGCCCCATGCAAACTTTTCATAAGATGTCCATGCATGAATCATAGCATCTTTTACTTTCTCTCTTCGTTGTATGCTAATAGGATCATCCTCAACATAAACACCTTCGTGGAATTTATTGATTTTTTCATCATTTTGGATACTTTCTGCCGGGCCTTTCATATGGCTCTTTATATTCTCCAGCTGCAATTTCAAATAAACTCAAACTAAGCCAGTAATGCCACAAAAAGGCCAAAATAAAATTTTTAAAAGTACAGCAGCAACCCTTTGGGCTTCGGATAATCGTAATTTGCAGATCTTACTGTATTTTGCAAGCGGGTAACCTCTTCTTTTAATCTAAAAATATCCTCCTGTCCAGCAAATGGGAAGCAAAAAAATAGCATAAAGAACTATATTTCTAGAGGTATAACAACAAACATAAAAGTCCAATCTATTAAGAAACTCCAGAAGCAAGTTTGAATTACTGAAACTAAAGGAAAGATATTTAATTCAACAATGCCCCCAGAAATAGAACATCATCAACATGATAGGACTTTCAACAACAATTGATCAAATAGGCTCTTAAATTTCAAAACATTAACAAGGGATGAAATGAGACTGCAATACAAAGTGGTACCCCATCCTTATTAACTATAAATTTTTTTCTTGTTCTTCTTTATCCTTTTCTAATTCTCTTGTAGAATTCTAAAGAAGAAGGAAATTGATTTCAGGACTATGTTTGCTTATGCCATAAAGCTCCTGCTATCTGGATCTAGGGAAGGATCAGAGTCAGACCCGTTGTGTTGGTTTATAGTAGGCATACTTACCTTACATTCGCTAGAGGCTGACTACATGAATCCAACCTGTGATTTTAGGGCCACATGTGACAACACCAACTATTGTGCCAAGACTCCCCTTCAGATAACTTTAAAATAAACCGTGGAAAATGCTATCCATGGAAGATATATACTTGATAAGATTTTCTTTAGAATCCATTTTCTCTTAATTTCAAGGCACAACATTCAGTTTTTTCAATAGCATATCAGAAATCAGGTTGTGCCAATAAAAAGAGGACCTCATTTTCCTTCTCTGAAAGCTAATACATCAGAAAATAAAGCAAGATTAACAATTATAACATCAAAAAGTTAAGAAAAAAAATTACAGGGAAAGAAAACACCATGAATGTGAAACAAGTAGAGGCCTTGTACACCAAGATTCTCCCATAAAATAAATAAACAAAAAATAAGAAATTAAGGAGGTAAAAGCTACATAGTGAGCACCCCATAAAGAAAAACAAGATCAACTATATCTGAAAAATGGAATACCTGGTGCTCCCTATTGAGTGATTGGCGGTCATAGACTAGCCATGTAACAGAGATGCAAACGACAAGAACCAATGCCAGTCGTTTAGGCCTCTTCATGTAATAGCGAGGTTCAAAATACCGCCACCCTCGCCATGCGGAAGAGGAATAAGATTTCTTCCCCATTTCAAGAATTGAAGATTTCTTAAATCAAAGACCAACCCAGAAAGAAAAATTTTAACAGAAAATGGAATGGAATGGAATGGAATGGACTATTAATAAATAGTATAAGGGAAAAACACTTAAGAATGAGATTACAGGTGCAAAAAAGGTGGGAAGAGAAGGCTTCAAGAGAGCCTCAACAAAAAGGAATGCGGGCAATAAATGTCGGGGGAGTTTCCTCTGTTTCTGTGTTCCAAGTTTTTGCAACGAGCAAGCTGAGGATTCTTGTTAACACATGTATTGCGTGTGGTTAAGCTACCCCTCCTCCATTTGGGGAGATTAAGGATTCGTTTAAATATTTTGTTGATTATTAAATAAAAATATTAAATGCTTTCTATGTTCTAAAAATGTTATATGTTTATTTTTATTTATTGTTTCTTATTAAATACTGAAAATAAATTATTAAAATGATATTTTGAAAAAATAACAAAACTCCTATTATTATTAGATAATCTTATTTATGAATCCTTTGGTGGTGAGAATGAAAATGTTATTATATTGTGATCTTATGCATTATTTAGTGAAAGAATAAAATATGATAAATTTGTCATATTGGCTCATTTATGAGCAATCCTAAAGGGAATTCGCATTAGGAATAAATAGAATAGGATAGCATATGTTAGATTCCTCACATCCCAAATATAACTTTATACTTTTCTCTTAAAAAAAAATTAAGCACTGAGGATCAATTTTTGTCATTGTCTATCATTGACCATTGCCCACATTTACCATACATTATCTATCACCATTGTCACTGACCATCACCATGAGCTATTGGTCATTACCACCATCATTGCTACCGCCACTCTCAATCATCAGACACCAACCATTACAATCACTATTGATCAATCCCTCACAATTGCTATTAGTCATCGTCGCATGCCACCACCACTTTCACCAGTTATCCTTGCAAGCCATTATTGCACCAACCAGCCACCAACTCAAGCCATCGTCACAGTCGCCATTAGTCGATCACTATAGTTGTCATCAGTGGTCACCACCATCCATCACTACTAATATAATAACTCATATTATTAAATTTACATTAATTAAATATTAATATGTAATTATAGAGTTAATTAAGTGAAAAGCCAAATTTAGAATTAAATCATTTTTTAGGCCAAAAGTGTAAATAATAAAAATATTGAGAAGAAAATTGTAAATGATGCCAAGTGGGTGAAACCCAAATTAAATTAAGTGTGAGACACACCTCATTGACCCAACCCACAAATCTTGAATCGAAGAAGCCAAGGGTATAGTGTAAAAAATATAAGAAATGTTGATATACAAAAAAAAATAAGAAATGTAAAAAAAAAAAAATTCATTTTAACTTTATTATCTGACTTTTTTTCAAAAAAAGAAAAGAAAAGAAAGAAAGTTGCATCCACGCAGACATAAAGTGAAAACCATTTTGATTTTGAAAAAAAAAAAAAAAGAAACTACTCCAAATAGGATCAGCAGTGTTATGTAATAAACTCTCCCAAAAACTTAGACTCTGGACGAATGCACATGAACTTAAATTTAACTTTTTATTATATGAATGGAACAACAAGAAATGAATTCTAAATCACTTGATTATAAGCTCTAATATTATATTAGACAACCGACCCTTCTCAAAGTTTAAACCTTTATATAGAGACACGTGAATAATTTAACACTTAGTCCGGGGAGTTGTGGTAGGATAATTGGATTTTTTTTTTATTACATTGATAATAGGATTTTAAAATTCACTTAAAACACTTTGTGGTGCCAAAATAATACTTGAATAAAAATCAACCTCATTATTGATTACCAAAAATAAATAAAAAATAACCTCATTATTTTATTTCCGTTCCTTATTGCAGCTACAATATTTAGTGAAAAATAAAATAAATAATGCTACCCATGCGTACTTACACGTACGTTACGTTACTTTTTATCTAATTTTTACTATTTGATTGATCTGATCACATTCTTTTTAAACACGAATTCTATCCATTTCTATTAGGTATATGAGGCAACGTTATCAGTCCTGATGCATTATTAAAATAAAAATAAAAATAAAAAACCACTTTGAATGATTTTGGAAAAGAAAATAAAACCTCGCTCGAAAAAAAGGGTGGATTGTTGATTTATAAACAGAAGTTATCCTTCAAAAGTTCAAAGTGGTGGTTTAAGTCAACGTGGTCGATTCCACGTAGCTTCTTGAATAACAGATCGAGACACACACGTAAGTCAACGAGGAATGGGATTTAAGCGTGCGTAGTGCATGCTTTTAATAGTATACACCATGAATTGGGTGGTGCACTGGTTGTCCTTAACCTTAATTATATTCTCACACTCATAAGTCATACATTCATACCGCTTTAATGGTTGCACTATTTATTAATTGGGAGACATAATAATCATAATGCCACAAATTAAACTGTACTAATAGGTTCAGAACTACATCGAGGCATTGCAGATCAAATCTATTCGCATTCATCAGCTGATTTCGTTTTTGGTCCATAGATGATCATGTGTATTTAAAATTAAAGATATGTATCGAACTAAAAAAACTTAAGTGCACAAAATTTATTCACAAGTATATAACAAACAGAAGGAAAGGAGAAGGATGTGGGGATTTAATTTAATGTCCCCCAAGTTTATAATTTTCTTTATGTATTATTTTTGTGTGTGTCTATATATATATATATAATAAATTAAATTTTCACATTTTTTTTTATTGTAAAATTTTATACAAAAACATAAAATCTTTATTATTAAATTAACATGAGTTACCTCTACAAATAAAAAGGAAAAAATAAAAGAAAGTAAAAAGAAAAAAAATTAAAAGAAAAAATATCTTTAAATTCTATATGTTTAAAATCTTTTATATTAAATTTGTGACTATGTCCTTAAAACTATATAGATTTTTTTAATAAAAAAGTTTAAAATTCCTATAGTAAATGCAAACCTAAATTAAAATTTAAAACTATTAAAAATAGCTGAGTTACCAACTTGTGCCTTTAATTGTTGAAGGATGATTTTTTTTTTTTTTTTTCAACAATGAGTGGTCAATCTTTGTGCTTTAAAGAGAAGAGCGTTCCAACACAAACACAAAGATAATTATTTTACAAATCGAAGAAGTACAACTGCACACGCATGTGTGCAGTGTGAACATCAAGTCAGAGCCATTATAAAGAGGGAAGTGTTATCAAGACAACTATCAGTTTTCAACAAAGTCAATGCCATCACACCTAGCAGTTATAGACTCGTTGCGATAGCTACAGCGTGATTGAAATTTCAAGCTTTTAGTGTAGAAAAATGAGAGAAATGGGTAATGATGGCGAATGAGTTAATTATCATCGCCATATATTCTATCTCTCACTCGGCATATACATTCTCCTTCTTTTTTCTTTCTTCTTATTTCATGTCACATGTGCGACTTATTGAATTTTGTAGATGATCTACTAATATGTGGGACTATATATCTCAACATAAATATTTAATGATAAAAATTTATCTCAATGCTTTTTAGTTGACAGTGTTTAAATTTCCTATCAATTAATCTAACTTTCATTAACACGGTCTCACATTAAGTTTAACCATTATTGAAAGTATTTTTTTGGAAGAAGAAAAAACCCTTTAATAAACATCAAAGTAATTTTAAATTTTATTTAATTTATTCAGAAGTTGAGTTTTAGATTTAAGAGTTATTATAAATTTATCAACTTAAAAATTGTGGGCGTAATATCAACGTGACATCTTCCTAGTTTTTTTTCGAAACAATCACTTCGTCTCGGTGTTTTGCCCAACAACCAAACTTAGTAGGCGCAAGAATTATGATGTTATGACAATTCAAAAAATTTGATGTGTCATATCCGACACTTCAACACATGTTGCAGGGATTCAAAAAAGGATTTGAGTTGCGTGGCATTTTTAGTTCCAACTATTAGATTCGTTGGATTATGATTACAATTTTATTGAGTTTAATATAAATATTTGAGATATCTTATGTTTCTTTGCAAAATTGATGGGTATTATAAGTTTAACTTCATTTTTTTTTTGTTAAATTATTGAATATTAAATATAATGTGCACTACATAAATTAAAAATATTATTTAATATCAAAAGGTGTCCTAACGTAATTTGTTGGTTATCGTGTCATGTCGTATCATACCTCGTGTCCCGTATCAGTGCAACTTAGCCAAAGACCATGAAGCTCAAATGGTAAAGCCCTTCACTTATTGTGACAATATCAGTTGTCAGGCGGGTTCAAGGGAAGCCCGTGGCGGGGGACCATCACCAATGGGTTAAGCTACTCCAATCGTAGCAAGTGGATCTGACATCACATCTCAACCCAAAACCTTAAGACATTGGGTTCGTGGGTCCCTCCACTTATATGCACTTCACTTAGCCCATTATCAACCAATATGAAACTCATTACACTTGAATATCCTAACAATCTCCCCCTCAAGTGTGAAACTCAACAGTGGTATGCTTCCCCTCAACCGAATACCAGGGCTCAAAGTACTCAACCTGTCTCTAGTCAAATTACCAGGCTAGCTCGAGCTTAACCCGACTCTGATACCACTGTCAGACAGGTCCAGGGGAAGCTCGTGGCAGAGAATTACCACCAATAGGCTAAGCTACTCTAATCGTAGCAAGTGGGTCCGACACCATATCTCAACCCGAAGCCTTAAGGTTTTGGATTGTGATGTGGTGCCGAACTCACTTAGTATGATTGGCCTAACTTAGCCTATTAGTGATGGTTTCTCGTCATGGACTCCTATTGGACCCGCCTGACATCAGTAACGCTACATACTCAATTGCATATACTGATATTTATCATTTTATATCTATACAATTTTTCTTTTCTTTTTTCATAAAATGGTAATATTGAGGTTGAGACCTATAGGCTATAAACTTAAGCAAACTATCCAAATTCTCCATTACTAAACCAATCCTAATAGCTTATATTTTATTATTCAACTCAATTATAGAGAGTCTTTTCTATTTTTTGTAAACCTATATTCTAATTTTGTTATCTACCTCAAAGAAATATTCTCAAGTGATGTTAAAAGAAGCATTATTTGAGACAATAGACTCCAACTACATATTAAAAGCATGTTTAGATTATCTCTTTTTTAAACTAAAATGTACTTTTAAGCTAAAGCTATAAAAAAATTAAAAATTGTTTATTGATTACATAAAGTTTTTAGCTTAAAGCTCAAACCTCATTTCAAGAAAAGCTGATAATAATTTAAAAAAAAGCTCTTCTTAGAAGTTTTTAATTTTTGGTTTGTTCTTCAATATTAAAAATTTATTTTTTTATAAAAACTTTTATAAAAATCTGTTTGGCTTAATTTCTTCTTATAAGAAGAAGAGAAGCTAAAAAAGAAATAATCCAAACAGGCACTAAATGATAAAATGGTTAATAATATAAGAAGAAGCTTTTTAGAAGTGACATTCAGCATGATTGATAAAAGGTATTTTTTTATAGAATCATTTTTTTTATAAAAAAAAAATTATATTAGCAAGTTTTTAATTAATATTTTTTACTTCGGAATAAGCTAAGTTAACACGTATTTTTTTTTAAATAAGTAATGTGGATGTATCAAATATTAAGTTTTTTTTTTGTAATTTTAACTTATAATTTAATCACGTATATTGTGATTTTTTTTATGTGAGCATGAATAATTGATGAATGAGTTTTGTTTTTTACACAATGATAACACCGAGGTTTAAATCTATAATTTTATGCAAACTAACCAAATTTCTTGTTACTATAGCAATCTTAATGGCTTGATGCATGAGAAATTCTACACTACTCTTTTATTTATTTTTTTGGTAATCAACACTACTCTTTTATTAATTTTCATTTGAAATACATCCCAAATAGAAATCCTCCAAAAAAATTTCTTGCTCAAAAACCCGTATCAACAAAACGTGTTTGATTGTGATTTTGTTTTTCAAAACTATTTTATATAATAGTTAATGAGATATGTGTTCTCTATTTTTATTTTTTTTTGAAAATTAAAAGTCAAAACACAAAACAAAAATAACATAGACATAAATTCATTTGATTGTGTTCTGATTTTTTTGGTCTTAAAACTGTTTTGTAAAATAGTTATGAATTTTTTTTTTTTTTTGTGTTTTTCTTGTTTTGAAAGTTAAAAGTCAAAAAATAAAACAAAAACTATTCAGACATATTCTCTAAATTTGATTTAAAAACAAAATAATAGTTACAATTTTTAAAAGTTTATTCATAAAACAGGCAGTCAAACAGATTTTTTTATTTTTTGGTCTAAAAACCAAAAAATTATTTTTAGAAACAGTTCTCAAAATTTGAATTTAAAAACTAAAAAATAGTTATAATATTTAGAACTGTTCTTATAAAACATGCATTATCAAACAGGGTTTTCTGTTCTTTTATTTTAAAAATTAAAAAATTATTTTTAAAAATTGAAATCAAACAAGTCCTTTATGTCTCGTGTTCTGTTTTTGGCAACCTTGTGAGGAGAACTACTCGAGTGTGCATTGTCTTTGAAAGTAATATAGACGCATCTTGTTAGAAATTAGTATTCTCAACAGAGACCATCCTTAGGTTTTTGCCATCATATATTATTCCGGAAATCTTGGTGAATATTGGGAATTATTTGTAACACTGCATTTCATTCACTTTTTGGAGCAAGGACAACGATTCATTGACAAACTGCACATAACATAACAGGTGCACAAATTTCTTTACTCCCATTTGAATATCTTGATCTATTGAAGTGCTGCTAGTTGATTTTTTTTCTATTTATTTATTTTAAAACAAGCTTATATTAAAATAGGATTTTTCAATAATAATGCTATAGCTATCTGATTAATTAAAAATTATTAATTATATAAAATCTAATATATAATATATATATTGACCAACTAATCAAATACAATTGTATGTCTCTTAGGTGCCGTTTGGTAGCCGACTTTTTTTGCAATCCCCGGGAAAGCTTGGTTCGACATAAATGAAACTCGCGTTTGATACGCAAAAAAGTAAATTATTCCAGAGTACAAAGAATTCCCGTGAAAACATGTTCTGTGTTATGTACAGTGCCAAATGCAAATGTGAAAGTCCATAGAAAACATGGAACTATTTCGGTCCCAGGAAAATATTGGTAGAGGCGCAAAAATATTGACTAAAATAACCCTTATTTTGGTACGATTTGTGTCAAAATATTGACTAAAATTGTTGTCGACCAGCCTTTTCCAATGTATCTCACAGCAAACCCTTTTCGTTTTCAAAACCACAATATAATATTACAAACAAATGTAAATCTGAAGTTATTTTCGTAAAATATTCTCACTTTCCTACTAATATTTCATAACTAACCAAGCACACATTCAGTAAAATTAACCATAAATTTTCGGAAAATTTTTACCATACCTAACACCTTTTACTAATATTCCGGAAAATATATATTTTCCATTGCATTTCGGTAATAATTATTTTTCAGATAAATAAAAATTTCTCCTCTACTAAACGCCCCCTTGAGGATAAGCTTTGGCCCCTTAAACTACTGGGCTAAACGTTGTGTGTGTGTAAAGGCCTAAAAGCTTTATACTCATACTCCAATGCGTAAATAAATATCGAATTATGCGAGTCTTAACAAAGAGAAAAAGATTAAAGTGAGAGGTAGTATCTTTAATTAAAATGAGAGAAAATTGGGTATTCATATAGTTTAGCATGATAACCAGATGAGGCAGTAATTTCGCTTGAAGCAGTTCATTGAAAGCTTTCCCCCCGTTGATTCGTGTGGGTCCTTATTGATTATGTGTCGGTTTCACTATAATAATAATTTTTTATACAGCATATCATCAAACAATATGATAAATAAAAATAAAAAACAGATTAGCGAACGGTGTGATATTCAGTTAGTTGAACTCAAAAAATTAGTTATTCAAATTATCCATTCAAAATTGATAAAAAAAAAAATTAGTTTAGATTTTTTTTTTTAAAAAGGTGATTCCTTATAAATCTTTTTTAAATATATTTTTAAAAAATCAAACGGAAATATTTTAAATATTATGTCATATATAAGCTTACTTTTAATATAATTCTCAATTTTTTGAACTTATAAAATTAAGTCTAATATTAAACATATTAATTTATTAGTATATTATTTTGTTATTTAAATTAACACATAAAATAAAATATATATTTGATTATTTTGAATTCAATTAGGGATATTAAACACGTTGATAAATAAACAAATTCTTACGTACGTGAATGTAAACAGATAGAGAGGATTTGATACAATACATGAATATGATCCGAAACAGTATTCTTAAGTTATTTTAGGGTTCCATTTTTTTTAGGTTGTTGAAAAAGAATTATCTGCAACAACCTATTATGATTATGTATTACGAGTAACACATAGTTATAATGATAAAATTATTTTTTCTTTTTTTGTCAGCCGATAATAATTTAAAAGAAAAAAAATTAATATTATAACAATGTATTACCTACCATATATAATTATAATAGATTGCTGATCATGAAGGTAACGTTTCCTTGGAACAACTGACAATGATTTTCATTATTTTATAATACAAAAGTCTTGTTGAATTCATAATATTGTGAATAACGCGGCCTCACAGACCATATTCTGTTTGAGGGTCAACATGGATGTTTCTAGGAAGCCGCTAATTAACATCAGAAACAGAGTGAGAGAGTGAATTGTCATATAACACACGCAAGCTCTTACGTTGATAAAATCCCGTCGCATCCTCACACCTATATATATATATATATATATATAATTCCCTCAGCTCTCGCCAGCAAAGAAATATATATACACGTTAAAAAAAAAAAAAAACGAGAGAGGAAAGAAAGATAAAGAACTTGGCACATCATATTCTTTAATTTCTTATCCTCTTTCTCTGTACGTCAACCTAGAGAGACCATGGAAAATATTGGTGAGGAGGAGTACAATAAGCATTACTGGGAGAACATGTTTTTCCAAACCCAAGAGTTTGACAGGTAATTAATTAGACGATTCATTCATTACATTGCAACAAATAATAATTAATCAAGTTAATTCTTCTATATATATATATATATATATGAACTTTAGTTATAAGATTTATATATTTAATTAATGTTATATTATGCAGGCGGGCATTGGGTGATCATGCCTTATCCGGGTACTACGATTCGAGCTCCCCGGACGGTGCTGCTTCATCGGCGGCATCTAAGAACATTGTCTCCGAGAAGAACAGGAGGAATAAGCTCAACCAACGGCTTTTTGCACTTAGAGCGGTGGTCCCCAACATTACTAAGGTATATATGCATATGCACCCCACTACCTTATCTGGTTAATTATTAGTTGATTAGACATTAATTATTACACTTTATCTTTTTTATAAAAATAAAAATAAAAATTAGGGTTTAAATTAAGGAGGTAGGTAGGTAGCTAGCACTAGTTATTACACTTAATTATACTATAGCAATTGTTAATGATCAATTAATGCGTCGGTTTGGTTGACATGACATGACATATATGTACGTTAACGTTACGTACACAGATGGATAAGGCTTCTATCATTAAGGATGCTATTGAGTACATCCAGCACTTGCATGAACAAGAGAAGGGAATCCAAGCTGAGATCATGGAACTTGAATCTGGGAAATTGAAAAACCCTAGCTATGACTTTGAGCATGATCATGACCTGCCTGTTATGCTGAGGTCCAAGAAGAAAAGAACAGATCAGCAGCTATTTGATTCTGTCAGTTCAAGAAATTCCCCAATTGAAATAATTGAGGTATATATAAATATAAGTATAAACCCCTCTCTCTCTCTCTCTCTCTCTTGTATGATTGATATTATTTAATATAATATATCCTAAACTGATGGGGTTACTACTTTTGTTTTAATATATATTAATATGAAACCAATCATGAATTGGCAGCTCACGGTTAAATACATGAAAGAGAAGACGATAGTGGTGAGCTTAACATGCAGTAAAAGGACAGAGACAATGGTAAAACTGTGTGAGGTGTTCGAATCCTTAAAGCGGAAGATCATCACAGCTCATATAACTTCTTTTTCAAGCACGCTTTTGAAGACGGTCTTCATTGAGGTCTGTCTCTCCTTTCCCTCTTCTTATTAATATTTACTTCTTTAATCTTTGGTTTTATATTGATAAATATTTGTCAAAGTATTGTGCCGATTAAATTAGAAAATATAAATAATTAAAAATAATTGCTGGGTTGGGGCCAACATGCTAGTCGATGAGGTTGAGGTTAAAGTAATTAGGACAAAAAAAATCCAAAAAAAAAAAAAAAATAGTAATTAGGACAAGAAGACCAGTAAATCTTGTGCTTTAAACAAAGATAGGATAAAATTTAATGAACTTTATCTAATTACGGGTACAAGACTTTTAATTTATAAAATAATACAAAATAACCCTTTTATACAAATTCTGTTCAAATCACTAATGAAAATCCAAAAAATAAAATAAAAAACTATGTAGATCAACCAACGACTTTTTGCACTTAGAGCGGTTTTGGGTGATGCTTTGAGTGTTTGTTAGGGTTACGGTTCATGTATAGTATTTTAGTTTGCAGAAGTTGGTGTGTGGTAGTTCGGTGATAGCAAGGGTGCGTCTGGTTCTTCTGTTGTTGGTGACTAAACGGTGTGATCCATTTGGACTTTGGTTGTGCGCACTAGGTTGTGGTTGTTTGGTTTCAAGGGCGCTGGGTTGTATGGTTTTTTGGATTGATAATTGGGGTTGCGATTAGAATTAACATGGTGGTGAAACTTGGTTAATGGTGGTTCAAATTAAAGAGCATGGTTTTCTGGATTTTTTAGGTTTATACTTCGATTTGGGTAGAACCACATTCGAGTCCGGATGAACTGGAATAACTCATTACTAGTTGGTCCTCATGTTCGGTGATATTGTTTTATGAATTTAAGTTGGGTTGGAAATTTCAAAGTACATGATTTTTATTTTAATTCATCCATCCTTGGGACTCCATGCACAGTTTAGTGAAGAAATTATATGATTGATAATCTTGATTCTAATTTTTTTAGAGGATTTATTCCTTGTACTAAGGAAATAGTTGACACAGTTTAATTTCTACTTTTACGTGTTAGAGGCAACAAGGGATAGTATACCCCGATTTTATTTATATATTTTTTAATCAATTAGATGTTATAATGAAGGGTTTTATGTTTTTATAATGAATATAAATAAGTTATATTTATTTGTTTTTTGACAAAAATATAAACCTTGTGTTTTTTAAATAAAATTCTTAAGATTCAGAATACTAACTAATTAATAATTCAGAAATAAAAGATTCAAATTCAGGATGTAGAAATTAAGGAGAATTTGAAAGAAGGAAAAAATAAAATCAAAGTGGTCCCTTAATCCCAAAAATGTCAAACGACACATTCAAGAATCATTCATGGAATTGATATATGCCATTGATGATATTTTTTTAATTTTATTTTTTTCATTGTATCTGGACTTGCCTGTCTGCATCTTGTGCCAAATGCAATTATCCAATCAGGAAGGAAAAATTGAAAGAAGGAAAAAATATAATCAAAGTGGTCCCTTAATCCCAAAAATGGCAAACGACACATTCAAGAATAATTCATGGATTTAATATATGCCTCATCGATGTTATTTTTTTAATTTTAATTTTTTCATTGTATTTGGACTTGCCTGTCTGCATTTATTTTTTAAAACATTCCAATTGATTCATTACTTCGCAACTAATTCGATTTGGGATGTATTATGAGAATAAGGCTTTAAATTCTTTTCAAAAACGGTATTGAAAAGGATCGAACATATATACTCTCACCTCCTCAATTCCTTGACATCAACTGAACTATATGTAAAGAACCTTGAGATACACCACCCCAAAAGCTAGCTCAAAGGGTGAGAGTGCCCAAAGTCTTATAAACTCCACATTAGTTGCTCATACAACCAATGTGGGACTATAAATCTCAACACGCCCCCTCACACGAGAGCCCATTGGGCTTGAAGAGTGGAAGATGCAACAGGCCCAGCCAACCTGTGCTAAGAAAGTCCACAAGAGAAAGTGGGCGGCGGCGAGGCTCTGATACCATGTAAAGAACCTTGAGATACACCACCCCAAAAGCTAGCTCAAATGGTGGGAGTGCCCAAAGCCTTATAAACTCCACATTAGTTGCTCATACAACCAATGTGGGACTATAAATCTCAACACTATACCATCATTTAATATCTAATTGCATCTTGTTTCAAATGCAATTATCCATTCATTGTTTGGCCATTGAAAGAACGGATTTAACATGTTTCTCATATCTCACGCGAGCCAAATATAATTTCTGGGAAATTTCCAACATTTACATTTAAGGAAATGAATTTTATTTGGGATCAATCTTTGTTATTCTAAAGAACACAAGTTTATGTCATTTTAAATGAAATTGTTATATTTTAGTGCATATTTAGTGACTTTTTATATTCTCTCTTATCCACACACAGAGAGAGAGAGAGTATTATAAAGGAGAGAAGAAGATAAAAAAACCAACAAAAGGTCATGTTTGAATTGTTTTTTCAGAATTAAAAACATTAAAAAATGTTAATTTGATAATACCTGATTTCTAAAATTAATTCTAAAAATTATAACTATTTTTTAGTTTTTAATATCAAATTTATATAACATATTTCAGTTATTTTTATTTTGTACTTTGACTTTTAACTGTAAAAAAAAAAAAAAGCATTTGATTAATTATTCTACAAAATAGTTTTAAAAACAAAAAAAAAAGTAGAATACAATCAAACAAGCATAGTTTCACTAAAATGACAAAAAGAAAATGACAAATAAATTTTGTTTAATCTTATCTTTTTATTAATAATTACAATAATATCATTTTTAAATTTTTTTTAGTTTTAAAGTTTTACACAGAAAACTGTAAAAATAATTGCAAATCTTTAAAAACAGTAATCAAAATATAAATAAAATAATATATTTATTATGATTAAATTAGTGAATATTGTCATCTATTTATTTAGCTATATACATTTTATTACGAGATAAAAATACTTTTTTAAGTTAACTACTAGTAAGTTAAATTTCCTTATGAGTGATTCTAAAATAAGACATTACTAACGAGTGCATTTTGTGTTGCTTTGTTTCAAAACTGTATTTTCAGGCAGATGAAGAAGAGAAAGATCTTTTGCAAATAAAAATCCAGAGTGCCATTTCAGCTCTTAATGATCGACAAAGCCCAATGAGCATCTGATGAAGAAAAGACATTGGTGGTGTTTGGTAGGAATATTTTTTTTAGAATCATGGGAAACTCATATTGACATTTTAATATACCCATGTTTGGTACATGAAAAGCAAAAAGTTTTCCAGAAAAATCGAAATCCTATGATTCACTTTTGTGAAGAAAAAGACCATCCTAAAATACCTTCTGAGAAGTAGTATTATGTGAATCCCATTGAATGGGAATATTTTGTAATTTTCAAGGGACAAGAATACCCTTGAGGATGTGTTTGGTACAAGGGTATCACAAAGATTACTCGTAAACTTTCTTTAGTAATTGTCAATTAACATATTTGGTAGAAGTATTAAAAATTAATTCCCGGATATTCAAGGTTTACCGGTAAAGCATTTTATAAAGAAAAGTTATTGTTGGGATTACCAAAAATTAGGTGGTTTTCATGATTATCGGGAAAGGGAAAGCAGATCAACATATTTTTGAGACAATAATACCCCCAACACACATCAATACCCGTTGAAGAATATGTTTTGAAAAGTTAAGGTTAGTTTTGTAAAATCATCATATATTTAATATACATTCTCATCAATATTTTATAAATAACCAAACATACTGTTAGAAAAATTAATCCAACATTCCTAGGAATATTTTGGCCTACCAAACAGTTTTTTTATAACATTCTCAGAAAATTTATTTTCATATTATATTTTCAGAAATCGTGATTCCCAGATAAAAAAAATTTCTCCTCTACCAAATGTTCGTAGGAGTTATCTTTTTTTGTTCCTATTCTTGGAATTTCTCTTATCAAATTCTTGGAATTTAGAAACGTTTCTTTCTAAATGCATGTTATATAAATTTAGTTTCCTGGGAAAGTATGCGACTTTTCTCCCTTTTCATCTCCTGCCTATGTCAGATAGCGTCTTTGTAAACTTCATTTCACTTATATCTACCATAAATTTGCATTTTCGTATTTTCCATGATAAATATCGCTTTGAAAGCAATTGAACATATCAACTATTAAATAAATTATATTAGTCTACCCGAACATAAAGAAACAATTACTGCCATTTATATTATTAAATATTGACTATATAATAGAGAATGAAAAATAAATTTATTAATATATTTTAAGATTTAAAAAAAAGACATGATATATATAAGTTTCTCATGTCATCAACAAATAATCTAAATAAATTGAAATATTTTTTTTTACGTTATTAACGTAACTTACCTGTAAGTATTTAATCATGTGCATAAATTTATATTATAAGTTAACAAACAAATAAAATATAATTGAGTTATATAATAACTAAATTTTGAGGTTTAGTTTTTGTGTTATGAAAAGTGCTAGACAAACAGAATCCTTTGTTATAGTTTTTGACATAATGATTTTCTTTTTGATACGTAGATGATTTTGATCACTTTATTTCATTTAATAATTATTCTTTAAAAAATATATTTCTAAGGGCTAAATTTAGAGTTTTACTGACTATAAAAAAAATTATACTTTTACTCACTCAGTATCGGGGGATAAACAATATGTTTATTAAGTATAAGTTGTGAAATAATACAGAATTATTAATTAAAAAGATTGAAAATATAGATGTTTAAAAAGGATTTCTTTTTAGTTTTAAAGAAATAACATTTTTTCCTATCTAAATCAAAACATGTTTTTCTTTATTTCTGAAAAACAACTTTAGCGTTAAAAAATTTCAAAAAAATTAATCAAATCCAAATTTTTGCAGGGGTTGAAATTTTTCTCTGAATATGACACCGTACGTCTTTGATGCAATTTATCATATCGTTATGGTTACTAATTGAGTTAACTTGTTTATTTTACTCTTATTTTATATTTGGAGTTTTGTAGTTTAGGGGCATAGTCCCTCACCAAAAAAATATATATATTTGGAGTTTTGTTTATCAAAAATAAAATCTAACCATAAAATTAAAAATGTTGGTAAAATCTACTTAATTATGAGACAATGGACGGCGGCTCAATTATCAATCTCCTCCTCCACTAGATATCTGTTCACTACAATACACGGACACATTTTTTTTTAAAAAAAATTACGTGTCGGATACCGACACCAACACGCTCCAATATACACGGTCAATTTTTCGACACGTTTGGACATGTATTTTTGACATGCGGTCAACATTTTTTGACACGCAGTCAACACTCTGACACACTTTCAACATATTTTTTTTTTAAAGGTCTATATTTTATTTTATTAACTAAAAATGAAAAATTAATTTATAAGTCAATTTTTTTTCAGTTATGGAATTTGACATAAAAATTTACTTTTGCTTTATATTTCTGTTATAAAATTTAAATATTTGATTGGTTATATGACTTATTATGGACTGTTTTATGTATTACACTTAAATTATATTATATATATTAAAAATATTATGTAATATCAAAACGTGTCCTAACGTGTCAAAATATGACATTTTTTATAATTAACGTGTTAATGTGTCGTATTCCGTGTCCCGTATCGATATCGGTGTATCATAGTCTCTCCTCAACTTGGCCGTTCCTCCATTGCCTAGTTCCCAACGCATCACCTACAAGAAAGTCGTCCGGGTTTTGCCCAAACTCTTCCAAAGCCAACTGTTTTTTAAAATAGTTAGCCTTTTATATTGTGTGGTTCAATTGGTCAGAGCACCGAGAAACCGCGGGTTCGAGCCCTTTCAATCCCATTGGATACAAATCCAATAAAAAAAGACATCAATTCATTTCGTGTGTAGAAGAGAATCAAAATAAAAATAAAAAATCTCATCCCTAACACGCTCGTTATACTAATAATCTATCATTTAACATAATAATATTGAGTTGTTTGAATAATATGATTTCAATTGATAAAATACACACTTTTTAAGGCTAAATCACTGTTTTAAAAATTTTGGGCAAAAGAATTGGCCAATTAAAGTTGATTAGATAAGATTTTTCAAACTAATGCAGTCAAACATGTCACTTATACTTACGAGACTAGTTCCGTCAATGATACTAACGAGACTTGTGCCACGTCAGCGCCACGTAGGCAGTCTCGTTACCGTAAAACTTTGGAAGACCATAACTTTTGACTCGGGTATCCAAATCAGATGATTTTTTTTATTTCACATAACTTTCCAAGATCTACGCAATGACACCTCATTTGAAATATTTTATCTCCCATGGACATAGTTTGAGTTTGCAACAATAGTTCCACAATTACAAGATCATTTAAATCCAGAAGATTCTGAGCTCTTTCCGAACCAACACCTTGAGTTGCCGTATGTGCCATCTTTTGGATTTTAAACGCTCTTGTAATTGTGGTATAATTGTTACAAATTTAAACTATGTTTGTGGGATATAAAATATGTCAAATGATGTGTCATTGCGTAGATCTCGAAAAACTATGTGAAATCAAAAAAACAAATCATCTGATTTGGATACCCGAGTCAAAAGTTATGGTCTTTCGAAGTTTTACGTTAACAGGGCTGCCTACGTGGCGCTGATGTGGTACGAGTCCCGTCAGTATAAGTGACATGTTTGACTATATTAGTTTGAAAAATTTTATCCAATCAACTTTAATTGGACAATTCTTTTGCCCAAAAATTTTAAAATGTTGTTTTTCCTCCACTTTTCATTCGTTATTTGTTAAGAGTTAACATCATTGCGTTTTGACACTTATAGCATATGCAACATTACATAATTTTCTTCGCAAAGAATGTTATTATAATGAATTTCCATTGAACGAAGAGACAAATCTTTATCTTCAATCTCAGCAATTAATCAAGAAGATAATTTTTGAATCTATTGCTCAAACTCAAGAACAGGTTTTTTTTTTATAATCGATATTAATTATCTCTTTGAAGCGAATCGGATCTCGGTATTCCCACGGGTCACAGGTTCAAGCCGCCTAAAGGACTAATCCGGAGTTCGGGGCGTCTCGAGGATTAAGGTTTTATAACCCTCCCCAAAATTATATTTGGTGAGAATCGAACCATGGTCCTTCCCACACTACTCAACTTCATTGCACCAACTGAGCTATTATCATTGTGTGCATAACATTAACTTTTAATATGTAGAGAAATGCTACTTGGGAATAAATGAATATACATCAAATTATTATAAGATTGAGAAAATTATATTAAGTTTTACTTTTTTATATTAATATAATTGCATCTATTTATTTCTTGACTATTGTAGTTTTGAATGTTTGTTAAAAATTGATATAATTTTTTGAAATAAATTCACATTATCATTTGAGTCTAGTAAATTATAATAAAAAATTATTGAAAATACAATTTTGTGATATCTTGATTATAATAAAAAAGCTATTTTTTAAAATTATTATATTTCTAAGTAACGTTTTAAAATTTACGATTTTTTTGAACTTAAAATAATATTTTAATTCTTAATTGAATGCACCCGAAATTATACTCACCTGCAATATTGCTTGAGGTGACACGAGTTTAAACTTTAAACATAAAAATAAAAGCTTTCCTTCAACTAAACATTCGTATTTTGTGTTAGATAACAAAATTTATTTTTTCTTATTATTATTGTTTTAGTACATAAAAATTTAAATAGGGTTAAACACTAGTATTTTACCGGGACAAATTCCTCATCTCTTTGAGAATTGTTTAGTGGGATTACATATCTCCCACTAGTAGATCGTAGTAATTTATTATTAATTTTAATACATAATTGTATTAGTTCAGAAAAAGTATTTAATTTATTTCATAATTTTTAATAATAGAATTCTGTACTTATTTAATTTTTTAGCTATTTTTAAATTTGATGAAATTTTAATTATTAATTTCTATAAGAAAGAATTAAACATAAAAATTTTCAGTAATGTCACGCAAAGTTTTTATTTCTATATATACAATAAGAAAAAATACTTGTCATTTTAAAAGACATAGTTTTAAGCCATTTTAAGTGAAATTATTATGTTTTAGTAAATTTTTATCTCCTCTCTCGTTCACAAAATCAACAAGAGAGGTTGAAGATGAGTGAAGGTAAAAATCTACCAAAACTCAATAATTTTATTTAAAATGACATAAAATTACATCCCTTTAAAATGATAAACACTTTTTATATAGAGTTTTTATTTCAAATTAAAAAATATTTCTAAATTTTCATAAATATTTCTATAAGAACATCTGAACCCTATATAGTAATTGATCCAATAAATAGGAAATTATATTCTATACTCCGGTTGTATTGTCGAAAACTGAATACTTCTTTTATTAAATTTGAAAAAAGTAATATAATTGACTTTTATTATTTTAACCACTATTTTATAGTTATTTTCACTTAAGTCTCACTTTTTCTTAATTTTAATAAATGAGTAGATAAATATTTTCGTATTATCAAAGATACCGGTTAAGAATAAAAATATTATATCAAATTTTTGTCATTGATTGTTTACATCTAAGGATTTATATATCTAATAAATTAGAATAATTAAATATAAATAATATGATAGTATAATTTGGGATATGATAATCATTTGATGTCGATGTCAAATTAAAAGATTTGATATTAAATTCTAATAGTAAAATTTTACCAATGATTATAATTTATTAAAAATTATTATTTTATTAATAATTATAATTCAATAAATTATAACTATAATATTGATGAAAATCAAAATCAAATGTTAAAATTTGATGTTTAACTTTTTAATTTTACATCTGTGTGAAAAAAATAAAATAAAAATCCCACCACCTATAATTAGCTCGATGTAAAATAATCCCGAACAATTAATAAACGTTGTGTTCCAAAACTCGTTAAGGCGGAGCTAGGGTTCGGGTTGGGTCATCGCGACGAGCTGAAGAACTTGTGTTCCCATATCTAATCGTGTTCGTGTTCGTGTTGGTGTTGGTGTTGGTGACCGTGGCCATGGATTCTCTGTTAGCAAACTACGCTTCTTCAGACGAAGAAGAAGAAGAACAACAACCTCCGAAACCAACCCCATCTGTTCTACCCAAAACGACGTCGTCGTCGTCGTCTCCTTTCTCTTCTCTTCCTCAGCCCAAATCATCATCATCATCATCATCATCATCTTCTTCTTCCCTCTTCCAATCCCTTCCTCAACCCAAACAACCTTCCCCTGCAGCTGCAACTTTGTCCAGTTTCAGCGACACCGCTTCCCTCCCCAAACCCAAAAAGGTTGTGCAATTCAAGCCCCCAATTATCCCTTTGCCAAACCCTACCCAACTCGAAGACCATGACGACGAAGAAGAAGAAGAAGAACGAAACAGAAGAAGAAAGTTGGAGTCATCCACTCAAACCCGATCGGTGGAATCATTCCTGTCCGGCATTCCGGCCCCCAGTAACACTGCCACTCTCGGTGTTCAATCAAGTTCCAGTTCAGGCAGGAGATCCATCCTCCAAACCGATGCACCGACACCGACACCGGCGCCGGCACCGGCGCCGGCGTCTAATTCTGGTGGTTCTGCTATGGAGAGCAATGTTCCCGTTGATCAAATTGCTGTGGGTTATGATAATTACCAATATGACACTGAACAGTATGTTAGTTACGGTAATTATAGTTCGGGTATTGAGCCAGAGGCTGCTGGCACTTCTACTTGTTCTTATGGAAATAATGATGATAGCTATGCAAGCTATGGTGCCTATGAGGATTATGGACAGTATGCAAATAACTGGGTTGATGGGTCGGCGGAGGCGTCTGGGGTTAGTGACAGTACCGTGAGAATTCCTGGGAAGAGAGGTAGGCATGAGGTTCCCTCGGAAATGATTGAGGTGAAACAAGAAGAGTTAATTAAGAATCGGCCAAGAGAGGATCAGGTTAAGCTAACTGGGATAGCTTTTGGACCCTCTTATCAGGTATTGTTTACTTGTGTTTTCTCATGTTGGGGTATTCCTTGTTGTTCATATATTTATTGTGGTTTCTTTGAGACTTGATTAGATTAATTCAAGTTCAAGGCGAACAACTAACTATCAAGCTACGATTATGAGTGTTGGTTTACTCACCTGTGTGCTTTTTATGTATGAGTTTTAGTTGATTTGGAAGAAAAAAAATAATGTATGAAATAATTTGTGTGCCTCGTCGAATCCTGCTTGATGTAAAAATATATTCAAGCAGTGTAGGAGATCCGGGTCAAAGGCAATAGGGGGGGCTGGTTTTCTGGTTAACAATCTGGGAATAAAAATAAATCCCAACTAGTGAGGGTGTGGTGAGAACAATTCTTGTACACAACCTTACCGTTGTATATTTGTAAAGACTCTAAAGAGGTTGCTTACTGGATTCAAACCCGTGACTTTTCAGTCACAGAGGAGCAATTATATCATTACCCCAAGCTTGCCCTCTTGATTAACAGTCGGGGAATACAGAACAAGAACTGAAAAATGTCAGTTATTAAGAAAAATCTGAACTCCCTTGTTGCAGCCATAAAACCATTCGGTATAGCACAGAAACCATAAATAAAACTAATTCTAAATCTGAGAATAGATCTCATTGTAGCTATCAAAAATAAACTGAAAAGAGTAAGTAAAATACAAAAATAATGCTGATACATGACCCACACTGAAGTAGGATTGTAGGACAAACAATATCCATCTACAACAGGAGATGATTTATGTTTGTATTTTCCTGTTCTAGATTTTAGCCCTGTAGAAAAAGGAATAGGAATTATTTGCTGGATGATGTGTAAAGGCAAGGCACATGATGCTTACATTAGTTCATGAGGCAGTGGTCAGGGATGCAGGGTAGAAGGCTTCAGACTTAGGGTCCATTTGATTTGTTTAAAAGACAACACAAAAAAATTGCACTTTGTTTGATTTTTAGAATGGTATAAGTACTGAATAAAAAGTAGTCCAAGGGATAGCACAAAATCCTAAATTTTTGTTACCTATTGATGCGAACCTTGGGAGAGCCTCACCCCAAAAGCTAGCCTATGAGGTAAGAGAGCCAAAAGTCCATATAAACCCCACATTAGTCACCCATATAACCAATGTGGGACTCAAGTCTCATACCTTGCAATTGGATCGTAACATTCCACCACACTCTGCAGTCGTCGAGCCCATGTGGGCTAGCTTTGAGCTAGTCTTTTACTAGCCGTGGGCAAACATGGCACTGTCAGTGTCACTAGCCGCACTGCTCGATTGCAGCTTGGAGACATAGTGAAAGACTCTGATACCAATTGATACGAACCTTGGGAGAGCCTCACCTCAAAAGCTAGCTCATGAGGTAGGAGAGTCCAAAGTCCATATAAACCTTACATTAGTCATTCATATAACCAATGTAGGACTCAGGTCCCGTATTTTGCCATTGGATCGTAACACCTATCCACAGCACAAAGAGAAAAATATCAATAGCCCATGCGCCTTCGTTTTTCACAGCTTTATTGTATGCAAAACAATGCAAAGCACAAAGGGTTTTATGATAAACTTTGCATTATTCTATCTACTACTTATGCATATGAAATGGCTTATATCACAAAAAAATTTAGTCCAATGTTATTGGTTATCAAACAACTTAACAACACAAAAAATTCTCGTGACATAACCACCTATGCTCTATTGTTCTGTTTGTGTTGTTCCTTAATATGCATCAAACGCAATCTTGGTGTCCCATGTTTTTGTGAGCAGCAGAGGAAATTTATGGCTAATAGTTTTCAAAATAGACACGGTCATTGTTTTATGATTGTGATTTGGTGGTGATGACTGTTGGGTACTAAATTTTAGCTCAGTTTAGTGGATATGTATTTTGGTGATTGAAAAAAGGGTAGACCTCAGAGTAGGTGGAAGGATGACTTTGTTGCGTCAGGGTGGTTAGAAACACAATGGTTAGGCAGCTAAGAGGAAGCTGTGGATAATATATAGTCTGTGCCTGTTAGGAAGCAGAATGGTGCAGGTAGTCTTCATGTTTCGGCATCTCTGTCCTAGCCACTAAGGCAAAATAAAGGAAATGGAATATTTATTATTCTGTAGAAGATAAAATGGGATATATTTGACTATCAATTATTCCAAAGCATTAGGAAATTGGACCTATTTGATCATCAATCTCTTGTCGTAGAAGTTTGTTAAAAATGTTTAACTAAATTTCGAGATGGAGGAGTTTCCCCTTGAGCTATATTGTGTTGGAAATCACTAATAAGGTGACTACACTTTATTTTCTATACCATTATTCTACACCTCCCTTTTATGGGAAAAAGAAGAGGCAGAAAAAGTGAAAAGGAATTTATCTCTCCTTTTTCATTTTTAACTTCAGAGTGTGTTGTCAACTTATCATCTTTTGGATGCCTATGTATCAACAAAGGAAATCTTTCAAACAGGTGTAGGCTTGAGTCTCTTTTTATGTCCATCAAAGGAATTATTGGATAATATTATGGGTCTGTTTCTATTCTGAATTATTGGAGGTTCATTTTCTATCATAGCTATCCCTGCAAAAAATTTCATAAAAATTTACAAAAGAAAGCCAAGAGGATTGTAATCCGTGGGTGCCAACTTTACAACCGGAGGCACATAGAAAACTAAGCTAATGGCAATGGTGACAAAAAAAAAAAAAATGGTTAATATATCTTTCATACCCAAAACAGAGTTTGAGGTCCTGTTGCTCCAAGATTCAAATCTTGGTGAAATAGGAAATCTTGTTTTGTCGGCAGTTACTTGAGGTTGTACAAATGTGGTAATTTTCTTTCTACTCGCTAAGAAGTATGTTTCTATTATTATTTTGTATTTATTTTAATTTTTTCTCTTGTAGCCTGTTTCGGCAAAGGGGAAGCCTTCAAAGCTGCACAAGAGGAAGCATCAAATTGGTTCATTGTTTTTTGATATGAAACAAAATGAAATGAAACTCGCCGAGCGACGAGCAAAGGGCATGCTTACCAAAGCTGAAACACAAGCAAAATACGGATGGTGATTTGAGGACAATGCTGTTGTAATTTTATGAACTTCCATTGGAGCGTGAATTACGAAGTGGATGTTCTCGTATGTAGCTGCAGCCCTTGTGTTTCACTGTTCTTTTCAAATATGTATACGTTTGATCCGTTTTTCAGTGCAAATGATGTATTTCTATCACAATCTGACACTAGAAGTTTAGACGGTACAAGTTTTATCCTTACGATGAATAAAACCATTTTTTTTTTTTTTCATTTATAGTTAATCCTTGTTTTTGGATAAGCTTTAAAAATCATATGCATTCAATAAATTGAAAATTGATCAAATTTTGTATGAAAGTGGTGATTTAATGGTGTAAAGAACTCTTTTCTAACCGTTTTCGATGCTTTTATTGGCCTTATTTGCTCATCCATATTCATGCTAAAAAATGAAATCAAAATGAATTTTTAAGCACTGTCATAACTTCAATCCCATTTGTAGAGATGTATAGGCCACAAGACATGTTCAGTGATTCCGAAGAATCTAAACATTATCGAGCAACCAACATCCTCTCACCTAAGAAACACCAAGCTATTTTCTAAACGAAATTACCTCGTCTCTTTTGGTTTGAGGAAAATAAAAAAGTAAATTTTATTTATCAAATAATTTTTGCCCATAAATTTTATACGCTTCCTCTCGCGTAGGTTCCATTACCATTGATATATATTGATATATATATAAAGTGGATGATGATGATTTGATTTACGTGAGTTGCTTTTTACGGGCGACAAACATAATTCATCTTCAAAAAAAGTTGGCAACACATTCTTTGATATTATTTTTTCGACACTCTTTATTATTGGGTGAAATCTTATTCTGGTCCCCCACTAACCTTAGTCCACTCTTCATTACTGAGATTAGTATGTGATTTCATCTAATAATATAGAGTACTAAAAAGAAAGTACTAAAGAATATTTTAGTAGCATTTCATTTCATCTTAATATGCTTTCGTAACATCTGATTCAAAAAGCATGTGAAAAGCCGCAAAGCTACGCTTCATTACGATGTGCTCAAGTAGTCAAGTCACCTCCATTTCCGTTTAAAATCCTAATCATCCCTATATGGTTTATAAAGTTAAGATTCAGATCCAACAACAATCCACAGGACGACGCATTTTCCCATTTTGATTATATCACTTGTGTTGTTCACTACAATCATGCATACAAATTTGTAATAATCCACAGAACGATGAATTTAGTCATATTTTTTCCCTGTGAAACTCCATAAGTCTATGACTAGAAAGAAAGTCTGGTCAAAAGGTTGAGCCATTGAACCCAAAGAATGAGCGCTGCACCAGAAAACGAATAGAATTAGATCTAGAATGTCAAGTAATGAACATAGATTACAAAAAGCTGTAGCTATGACATTCATCTCATTGAAAGGAAGCTGTTTGAATAGGTGTTGTTGACACATCCACCATGATAACGTTTACAATATGCTTCAGCATATTCAAAATAATAATTAAAAAAAAAATCTCAGTTACAGACAACTCCTTTATGAGAAGAACACTACAGGAAATAGAAGGCCACATAACGATATTAACAAAATGAATTAGCAAACAAATTTTCTCTGTTATTACAAAGTATTGCTAAACAACATCAGAAATCAATCTCCACTTAAATAAATTGTATTACCTATTTTGTCTCCTCCAACAAACATTATAAGAATCATAATTGAATTGAATGAACACATAAGAAACCTCTAAGTTCAAAGAACCAAACCGTTTCAATATATTAGGGAAGAGAATTAAAGAAGTTAGAATGTATGAAATTGCTTCACATCAAATAAGAATACTTCAAACAAGCTGAACAGTTTCGACAGGTAGTAACCAATATTGGTTTGCAATCTTCTCAGAATCATATAAGCTAACCAGAATAAAGCAGCAATTTACCTGAACATCATAAAACTTGATATAGAAACGCGAGCTATCAATGTATAGCTTAGTTTGAAGAATTTCTGCAATTGTAGAACTGAGTTTCCCATTAACACTTGGACCAATGCCCCCAATTGAGATCAGTTCTCCATAAGCAGCTGGCTCTTCAGTGCCACCAAATGCAATAGGCACCCCCCCATTCAACAAAATCATCACATACTGAAGCATTAACCAAAAAATATAAGACACAAATATATGACGAATTATACTAAAAACTAAAATAGCAGAACAATTATTCAACAGTAGCCCATCAAATTAATGACTCAAAAACCAAACAGATAAAAGCGTTAATAGCTAGCACTCCTGTTGATGGCAAGCAGCTTAAATAGTTTTCATGGCATAGATAAAGTATTGGTATTTACACAGTAATTTTATCGAACAGTTGGTGGTCAAATGTAAACAAAATTAAAAGAGAGTAAAGATGGGCCTAACGGATTCGGGTTTTCCGATGATCTTTGCAACAGCTTTGGTTGCATCTCGGAGAATGTCAGAAGCAACGACAGGGTCGACGGGCACGTTTGTGAAGAGGTTCAAGGTTGGCATTGCCTTCTTCTTGCTGCTACACACACTTCAGGATAAGCTCTCTCTCTCTCTTTCACACACCACCAACTATGCTGTGCCTATCATATTATATTATTTATTTTATCTATATATGTTTATAGAGCTAGGATTCTTTGACACCAGTGTCAAATTTAAAATTTGACACTACATCTTCTGAGAGTCATTAGATCTAAAAAGATCAATGGCTCTGATTTATAAGCATGTGACACCATTGATATTTTTAGATCTAATACCTCTCAGACGTGGTATCAAAATATCTGCCTCATGTTTATACGTGTGTGTAAAAATTATACTAAATGTAAGAATATGAAATTTTATACTTATTCTTCATCATTGATTTACTTTACATATATGCTGAAGTGAAACGTTTCGTAAGAAATTAAAAATGGATAATTTACAAATGATTTGCTTCATGTTTCAGGGTTTTTTTTTTGAATTTTTAAAGCTTATTTTATAATTGTTGAAATTTGCATTAGAATGAAAAATATTAAATTTTATTAATTCTAATGTTTCATAAGTCACGTGAAATGAATAATAACCCTTAAAACAAAAAGATTGAATAATTTGAGTTGACTCGGCTCGGCTCAGTTTAAAGCTTAATTTAATAAAAAAAATCGTTTTGTGTGTTACAAAATAAACTTGTATATAAAATTCAACATGAAAATCAAGGAGTTTATTTGTTATTTACTTGAAATGAAAATCCTCAATCATCTAAGATAATTTTCAGACTTGTTAACGAATTGGGATAAGAAAATAAAAATCAAAGTATTTTAAAACATTTATTGCATTATAAGTACATAAAACATTCAACACTTGTTTGTTTAAGTAACTTAAAATATTTCATAAAAAATATTAAATATTTTTAAGTATAATATATTAAATATTCTTTAACCAATATTTAAGTTTTCTTTAGAAAAATTCAATAAAATAAATAAAATTACCAAAAAAAAATTCCGGGTCAACTCCTACTGAGTTGAAGAATATGAATTTGGCTGTCATAAATCCCGTGCTACCAAGTTCTTCAATTGGTTAAATATATTTTTAAGAAAATGTTTTCCCTTGAAATGGCATCATTTAATAATTAGTTTTGTAGTGAATATATTTAGTTTCTTTTATTTTTCATAATATTTACTTTTCATATTATAAAAATATTAAGAACTTGTAAGAGGACAAACTCTGCTGGCGCAAAACTAGTGAATGATAATAAAAGGATCTTGAATATCTGCTATTCCCTTGGAAAACACATCATGTCTATAATCTAGTCCGCTAGTCAAATTATTTATAAAGAAAAGGGTTATAAAAGGTTGTGGAAATAAATTGACGTTTCTTTCGAACGAAGAAATAAAAAAGCACTCTGTTTACCCAAAAAAAAATAAAAAGCTTACTCTTACAACACCCCACCCCATAATAACACTAATAAGTAATAACATTGCAATACATTATACTCTCATATTCAATGGGGCAAAATTGTCTCACTCACACAAAAAATAAATGGAATTTATTTTTTTTCTCTTTTTTCTTTTAGTAAATTTCACCTTTTTTTTGTGTTGCATGAAATAATTTTATCTTTTATAACACGAGAAACATATTGCTTTTTTTATATATATGCATATGCAAAAGAGAGCCATTAATTTTGTGTTTAAATTAGTTTATCTTAAGGAAATAGCTTTTATAAGCAAGCTTTAAACTAACTAATTATTTTTAAAAATAAGTTAAGACAAATATACACTAAAAAGTAAAAAGATGATCTGATGAAAATAATACGTTTTGTTATTCAAATAAATTAATTATTTTTTTAATTTGTTTCATAGTGTCTCCATTAAATAAAATAAGAAAGATGAAACAATACTAATTTAAATATTTTAATTAAGGGCTTGATATTTATCATTTTAAATCACATAAGTTATGTCATTTTATAAGAGAGATAGACACAATAAATGAAAACCATGGGAGAGAAAGTGGGTGATTTTTTTTAATTTAAATTTTAAATAAATAATATTATTTTATGTCTATTTCTTTCTTAAAATAACATAACTTTATGTCATTTAAAATGACAAACACTTTTCTTTTTAATAAAATAAAATACAATCAAACATGGTTACATTTTCTTAAAATTGAAGCTATTTAAGAATATTCTCAGTCCTTGTACATCAGCATAAACAAAAAAATATTTAAAAAAAAGAAGGAATATCATCTACTCGAAAAAACAAAGGGAGAAATCGATAAATTATTGCATATTTTTAAAACGCCTAGTAAAATCGTGATACCTTCATTCATATGTTAAAATTTAACCTTTAATCTGTATCAAAATAAAGTAATTAATCTTTAATTAATGACAACACCACACTGACTGAGGATGCTAAGTAAGGCAATGAAACTATTTGATCGGAGAAATAAACAACTTAAAACTCCATGCGCATGCAATAGGAACCAAGGAAAAAAATATTAACATGTAATCCTGATGCTTATCTACCTAAGCCGGTGAGGAAATAAATGGGCAAGTATCGTAACATTTGTCTTGGCTTTCGAAGATATACTCAGTGCGTCTATCGGCTCTCACTAGCTCAATAACACATTAGGGGCCAAAATTTAAGCAATGATAGTGACTGGCAAGGTAAGAATAGTTGGCAGTGAAAACCTAAAATAACAGATACAAAATATAGTTTCATACCCTGTAGAGACCACCATTGAGCTTTTAATCAATGCAAATATACATTTCGAAACTAAACATCCTGAAAATGGCTAATATTTCATTACATTTTCTATGGCACTAATCAACTCTTAGAAACATTAAAAGTTACCTCATTACATGTTGATATCAGATAAAAGAAAACGTGCTTTTGGTGGCTTCACAATACATAGCAGCATTAATTCTCTTCCAATCAGACCCAATTAGAACACAAATTGGCTCAAAATGGAGTCCTAGTGAACCAAGGGAGACCAATACCATTTTAAAGTCTGAAAGTACTGTATCCTCCTACACCAGAAGATCCATACCCACTGAAGGATTGTGAGGACAATGAAGATGAGGGGTACGATGAACCGCCCAAATGAGAGTAAGACCTCGGACCTGCATCCAACCTGCTGTAACTACTAGCGACAGGTTCTTTGTAGTTGCTTATAACTTCCTGTAACAAAGGAAGACATTTAAATCAGCAAAAGCGTACTAAATAATCCATTCTTCCAACATGAACTCATACCTTGATAGTAAGTACCTATCAAATGTCAGTATGAAGACAGAATGACTAATATATGTATGAAAGACAATACATGAATCAGTGTCTAAATCATATCATGCCAAACCTTAATTCCTTAAATGATTAGTAATACAGCCCAGTATAGGAGGGAGCCGGGATATAATAAGGTGCTTTATCAGCATAAAAGTATACATAACATGTAGCGACAAAAGTTAAAAGGAATACATAGCGATTGGTAAATCTACTAATTTCATCTGATAATAGATGAATTTAGCCAAACTCAGAAAAAAGAAGTTCTCACATTTTTGTTCAAACTTGTCTGCTGAATGACTATATTTACTTAATGGATAATAAATCTTACCTATGAAAAATTAGTCCAATGATCCCATCCACCACTTCCCATTAAACCCTGACTTAGCGAGAGTAGGGGTGCGAATAATCCTTAAACGCAGTCTTATCATTACATATTTGCAAAAAGGCTATTTCCCGAATTCAAACCCATGACCTTTTGGCAAGAGAAAAAAGAATTTTTAAAGGATTGGTCTTATTCAGGTTTTAAGGGAAAACCCAATATACATCCAAACATAATGGTCATATGTACCCCCCTCCCCCCCCCCCAAAGAAAAAAAAACAATTGTCATGTGTTTTGACTTTCGCTTGAGATGCTGCCCACTTAATAATGCTCTGATTAGTTTTATAGTATTCATGAAAATTGGAAACTAGCATGTCTTTTGTCCGATTTCCACTACTACCAATAAAGCAAGAACAAAAATGCCCAACTAAGCTTGACAGATGAAACCATCTTCGTTTCTTTCATTTCCTACTTCATATAATTTAAAATGGATTCATCTTTTAAGTGTCAATCTTTTCATTCCCATTTTTACTACTTATCTTTAGATTCTCCTATTGCACTATAAAATTGTAAGTAGTATAAATTTTTTAGCCAAGATTAGGTACGGTGACATCAACTATATGCAAGAATAAAAGCATTCTAACAAGTGAAGCATTAATACCTACAAAAAATAAATAACTAAGCAAAGTATATGTCAAGAGAAATCTTCTGTATGCATTACCACTTGCTGAAAAATCAATTAACCTATCTAAGTATGCACACATGCTTATGCATATCTCATTATCATACAAAAGTAATGGTACCAGAAAAGGGTAACTTTCTTTTCAAAGGAACAAGTTTCCTACCTGAATCAATTGTTGTGCTTTTTGAACCTGAGACGAGGTGCCTTTTATTTCCACAATGATTTCATCAGGCACCCTGCTCTCCTGCACAGTCAATATGGCTCCACTAGTACGGCGAATGTAATCAATATTAGACCCTTGTATTCCAATGATGTCCTCTGCATAAGACAGTGGAATTTGCATTGTTTGTATTACCTGATAAGTGGAAACAATAAAGGAGGGTGGGAGTTACCATCACTATCAACCAAGAAGATATACAATAACTAAAGGGAAAGAAGACTGAGGTATGACCAAACATGTTTTAAGTGGAAAGGGAGCATGTCTTCAGTTCACAGTATTGAAATTTGACATACATCATTGTGTATGACTCACTTTAAAAACTTAAAATGATAGGTGCAAGAGTGCATGTAGAAGAACTCAGAAGTTAATATTAGGCCCGAAGTCCCGAATGCTTGGCCCATCCATCTGTTACTCCTCAGCCGAGTCCCTTTACAGCCAGTGCTTTGAAAGTTTACACTAGGAGGGATAATTTGGGGAATTGGGTTAATTAATTTGTTTTTTCCATTAGGGTATATCCCAGGGCTGTAGGCATCGTAGGGGACTATCTCGATTGTGATTTTCTGCTTAAGTTCCTCTGTTGACAGAGGTAGGAGCTGCTGCCCTGTAGGAGGGGAAACTCTCGTAATGACCCTATAACAGTCATAAAATCCCTTCTAACCTTCTATCAGAAATAATAAAACAAAACTGAAGACTATTTTCCTATATTGTGTGGAGAGTCCTAAACAGTTATTGTCACCTTTGAATTTAAAATTTGAACCACATGAAAAAAACGTATAATAAAATGCCTTACAGAAACACTTAAAAAATAATTGTGATACATGGATATTTTTTAAACAATTGTTAAAAATAGACAAAAAGAAGGCAAACAATGACATTTGTCACATTTCCAAGGAAGTTTTCATATCAAATAGAACGCAAATAAAATATGGGTGCTTAAAATTGCTAACCGTAGTAACAATAGGAGCACCGATGCGACTAAGAGCTGAAGAACGAAGACCAGAAAGTGAAGATTCTTGCCCATATAGAGACATTGTTGAGGAAGGGAGCAACGAGTCCAATTGACTTTCACGGTCACCAAAGAAAGAATCCCTTTTCGTTGAAAGAGGAACATCAGCAACAATGCTAGGTTGTGAAGCACTACGCAGCGATGGCTTGTCAGTCCAGGTATCTGTCTGCCGGTCATGGGAAATTGTTGCATTGTACTAAAACAAAACGAAGAATTTGCATCTTAGAGCCAAGATACAGTAAAATCAGAAAAAGATAGCTTTTGCATTTTCTTTGATGATATTCAACACATCAACAAAATAAAATAGCAGTCCAACATACAGGATTTAGGCATAATTTATAATTTGGAAAATATCAAACTTACAGTTTTCTCAAATAGGGGAAGAACACTATGATCAACCAAAAACTTCCTTAGGTGCCCAATTACTGCTTCCAGAGCCTTAAAAACCTTCAATGCTTCTCCCTGCAGTTCCACAATCCTCTCATCAGCAGCAGCATAAAATGGAAGCTCATCTGTCAAAAAAAAAGAATTGGCATCGGAATTACTTCCATCATTGAACAAAAATAATACAGTATCAGAAAAAAAGGAAAAGCTCATTCTCATTAGGAACATAGAAGCAAGGACAGAGCTCTTAAAATCCAGTTAAATTGAATTTCACAAGCAAATTAGGCTCAAAATGCAAGCATTTGGCAACACAATCTAACTAGGCTCAAAAGTGACGGGGGAAATCCAATAGTGTTTAGTATGATAAAACCTGTTTAATAATACTATACTAGGCACATTATCTTACACAACTACTATATGCATGTTCGAAAATTGCCACAGAAAGCTGCATGCAGTGAGGAGAAACATCCACACACAAGCACCTAGCCACTACATCCAAAAGGTAAAGCACTGAAAAGACAGGTAAACCAAGCACTGGAAATTAGAGATACAATTCAGCACACTCTACATTTTATATAACGTTAGTCAGTCGATATGAGAAAGAATACAAAAAATCAATAGTTGCTATTAGGAAATAGAGGGAACATCATAGAAGTATCATGTATAATTAAAGAAAAGTGGCAGCAAGCATACCTCCTGTCAATACTCTAACAGAAGCACCGGTATTTTCCTGTATAGATTTAATTAATGAGCCCTGCTTTCCAATCAAATTGATAGCCTGCGTTGAGGCCACCAATAAACGGATGGAACAATATGTAACTCCAGCAGCTCCTGATGTTTTATTCTCATCATTAGTTTCTGATAATCCCCAGACACGTTTAAAAATCCTTATTAAAGCATCCATTGCAGGAGAAAGAGGTGCCTCTGGCTCTTCCTTCCCCGTTATGAGTACCTAAAAACAAAATTTAAACCACGTTGAGTATAAAACAGAAAAAGATACACAAATTAAATAAATGCCTTCATCTAAGTAATTTTTTTTGAAAAAGCCAGTGATATGGATACAAGCACCATCTGCACAGGATATAAACCAACTAAACCATAGAGTTAAGTTCCATTAACTTTGGCAAATTCCAACCTAAATTGAAATCTGCAAGCTAAGGAAACTCAACAGCAATATACGCCATGTGACACATTATCACAAACTATGCAGAAATGAAATTTGAATCGAAATCAGCATGCATCCCGTAAGCATCCAAGTCCTATAAATCACAAAAACTATCCCGCAAATGATATCTTTAAAATACGAAACCTTGAGAAATATAATAGTAATAATATCTTGATAGCGAAAACGCATCACAATATAAATGAAGTGATGATCAAATCGGAGCTGAAAAATGAAAGCAATGTGTTATTAAAGGACAGTAACGCATGGAGCTTAAACCAAAATGGGAGCTTAAACCAAAATGCGAGCACAAAATTTAACTTAAAACGTTTGGTTATAATAATAATAATGGCTACCTACCTTATAAGCAATAGTACATACGAAGCTACATTTGAAGGAATGAGACCTAGCAAAACCTAGTATAAGTAGAAAATCGAAGAACAAACCCTAGAAAGATGGTGAAGGGAACACTCACTATTCGATCAGGAGTGCCGACAGCACCGTCGAGAACGCGAATTCGAGCTCGAGTATCTTCGCATATCTTCTTGATGAGCTCACCCTTGCGCCCGATGATGCTCCCTACCTTGAGGACCGGCACGATAAGCCGGAACACGCAGTGACCGGGCCAACCAGGCCATCTCTTCTCGGTGGAGACAGCGCCCGCGGATTCGAGTTCTTCGGTTGACGGTTTGGCGTCGTCACCAGTTTCCTCTGTGAGGGCGGCGGCGCCGGCATTATCCGATGGTAGTGGTTGTGAAGCGCCGTTCTGGATTGGGTCCACGTTGGCCATAGGCGAGTTTCAGGTGAAGCTTAGGTCTTTGCAGAGAATCGAATGGAAGAAAAGGGTTTATAGAAAGAGTTTCAGTTATTCCTTTCCGTAAGCTCTGAAGTCTCAACCCTTAACACCATGCTCACGTGCTTGTCACCTGGTATCTGCCTACAGATTTACTTCAAAATTGCTCCAGTTTATTTATAAACAAAAAACAAAAAACAAATATTAAAGTGTGCGTAGATAATTTTTTCTTAATAAAAACATTAAAATTAAATATAAAAAAGTAATCCATATGAAGTAAGTAAAAATTGACAAACCTAATTAAGTTCTTATCAGGTTGAAAATATTGGTTAGTTTTGTGATTTGTTCAAGAAATAAAATATGAAGCTTAGGGCCTGTTTGGTGTGACGTATAATACCTGATAGTATAAACTTATGCCATACGTTATGACATTTTCAGTTGTTTGGTGTGCCCATCGTATAGTATAAGCTTATACAGCAAGATTCCTTAATACATCAAAATGATGTATAACTTAATTCGACCTAAGGGGGAGGGATAAGGCCTGATAAGAGGTTGGTGTATTAACATCGTTCACCAGTGTAATTCTCAAAAATTAATATATTACTTTAATATTAATATATTAAAATAAAAATTAATTTTTCAATATATTAATTTTTAAAATATTGAATATTTTTATTTTTATAAAAATTAATATATGTTTTGGACACACTGATCAATAAATTTTTATAAAAATTAATATCATATGACATTTTTTTTGAAAAATTATATAAATTCTTTATTAAAGGATATTTTTATAAAAAAAAATTATTTTTATTCTATATAATATTTTACAGTGCATTATCAAATACTAGATGATATTATCTTATATAATATATTACTTTACACAATACTATGCTAAACGCTGGATAATATTAAAATTCAATCAGGTCTTATACGATCAGACCTTATACTATCAGGTTAGATTAAGTTATACATCATTTCGATGTATTAAGAGATTATACTGTATAAGCTTATACTATACGATGGTCACATCAAACAACTGAAAATTTTATAACATATAGTATAAGCTTATATTATTAGACCTTATTCGTTAGACCAGGTCTTAAAGACATAACACGAAGGGGGTTCCTTGGCTTTTTGATTAAACAGATGATTTTGACATAAGAATATTGATAATATTTTTCTCTAGCACGTTAAATCAATTGTAGGACTCACTAGAAGGAGCTTTGTTTTAGTGGGCCAGGCACATATGGTCCCATTCCAAAAGTAGAAAACAAAATGGAGTGAGAGAGAATTTTGAAAGAAGTGAGGGACAAAAAAGAAAACATATTTTTTCAAAAATAACATAAGAACCACCATAAGAAAATAGGCCCGGATCATTTTAAAAAATCCCCACTAGAAGAGAGAAAAAAAACAACTCAATTACCCATTAAGAGAGAAAGACAAAAACAAGTCAATTACCCATTAAGAGAGAGAAAAAAAATAGTTCAATTACCAATGTTTGTGCAAAGAAAAGTTCATCTCTTATGAATTTAAGAAAAATATTATCCTAAAAATATATCTATTTAGTTCGTTTTTTAAAATAAATTATAAATTAATGTAATTAATACCTTTCGCACGTTAAAGATGCATAACTTACTCTAAAAAAAAAAAAAAAAATGCATAACTTAATACATGGGGGCAAGTCCCCCATATTAACCATGGAGGATTTAAGTCTCGAGATTTAGGGGTCGTTTGGTAGGCGTTTTATTTTGCAATCCCCGGGAAAACAACACTTGACAAGATTGAATCCCACGTTTGGTAAACCAAAATGAAAATCTTTCCTGACCACAAACTTATCCCGAGAATTCATACCAAGTGTAATGAACAGTACCGATTGCAAAGATGAAAACTCCATCTTGAAGATGGAACCATTTCGTTCCCAGGAAAAGATGATTTGAGGCACAAAATAATTGACTAAATTAACCCTCATTTTTGTACGATGGGTGTCAAATCCTGTGGTGCTTTACTTGTTCGTATATTTGGAGAACATACAGATGACAGCAAAGCACAAATCATAACAAACAACAACAAAAAAACAGAAATTGTGAAGCTTGTAGTAAAAGGAACCCAGATAAGATTAAAGATGAAAAAAGAAGACTTTAACAAGACGAGACCAGGTGGCGAAATTAGCAGCGAGATCGTTGATGGAAGTCATCTGAGTCGCAACAACTCGGACTGAGTTAGTGGCCATCGTTGAGACAGAGATAGAGAGAGAAGCTCGCAGGTTTTGCCGTTGGACTAATGAGTACGGCAGGGACATTTTCGTAAAATTACATAACATTCCCACAAATATATTACAACCAACCAAACACACATCCACTAATTTTTAAATAATTTCCCGGGAAAATTTCATCATACCAAACAACTTTTTACAAATTTCTCAGTAAAATATATTTTTAACTATAACTCAGTAAACATTCTTTCCTGGATTAATAAAAATTTCTCTTCTACCAAACGCCCCGTTAGTGCGCAACAGGAAAATTTCCAGTGATCCTTCCTTTTTTTTTCTTTTTTTACCCTCTCTTTTGTCACATTTTTTCTACCTCTCTCTTCTTCGGACACTATATAAATGGTGTGTCCGAAATATATTAAACCCTCCCTATAAGGGACTGTCATATTGGTAGTGTATGTTTAGAAGATTTTTTTAAAATAAACAATTTTTAAGTTAAAAAGTTTATATAATCATTAAACAACTTTAGCATTATTTAAAAAAATAAAATAGTTATAATTAAAAAAAAAGATATCAAACAAGTTCTAAGTCCTGTATGATCTCGAGACTGTCACACTGACATTAAGGCTCCCATCGCCATATTAGTTCAAGGGTTTAAGTTTTCTTATATTGTAAAATTGTAGGAGAGAAAAAAAGTAGAGAGAAGTTAAATGTGGGTCCCATATTTTATATTTAAAAAAAAATAAAAATTAATTGACACGAAAAATGAATGTGTGTAAAAAAATGATTCACTCTCATGTAGCATGAGAGTATTATTTCCCTTAGTTTAAAATATTTTTTAAAGAGTGATTAAATAAATATTTTTAAAAATATATATTAATTTGATGAAAAGTGCAGGAATCCTCAAGTGTGCTTGTCAGTGGAATCTCTTTGAAAAACCAGGATCAAAATATTTTTATTTGGACGAGATGAATTTTGGAAAAAAAATTGTGAGGTATTCGTTCTTGAAATAAAATATGTGGAAATGATGATATATATAGTACCGAAAAAGGAGAAGTAGAAGTTAATATCTTAAAAAATGGAGGCAGGATATGTACAGACTCGTACAGTCATACTGTCTCCTTCTTGACTGAACGCATTATATGAATGTAATATTGAAGGGGTTTATTTGAAGGGATATATTTTTCTTATGTTGTAAAAAAAAATTATTTTATGTTGTAGAAATAAAAGTATAAGTGGGACTCACAGGTAAGAGGAGAGAGAAAAAAGAGTTGTGGGACTCGATCCTTTTTTGTGTGTAAGAGAGTTGTTTATCTCATGTAAAATGAGATAAAGATAACCCTTATTTAAATCAGCTTCAACTAAGTATAAGCTATGCATGTACCCAAAGTCTGAAATGTTTAGTTAGGATTCCTTTAACGTTTATTTAAAAGTTGTGTACCTTGGGTTTTATAAGTTACTTGTGTAACTTGGGTTTCATAGTTTACTGGAATATTTAGTCGAGGAGAAATTTTATAAATAATAAGAAAATGTTATTCATAGAAAAGTGGTTGAAAAGTGAGTTTGATAGAAAAATGTAAAAAAAATTGTTTAATTGAAAAAAAATTAGACAAGAAAATTAGGTAACTTTTATAAAGTCTATGTTTGGGTGTAGATAAAATATAGATGGGAAAAAAGTTGCTATTACAAAAATAACCCTGTTTTTAAATTTTTTTGATGAGTGGCATGGTCCACCGCGAGAAGGTTCCACCACTTCCACCGTCTAAGGATCAGGTAGCGAAGAAGCGCAAAAACTCTGATGGAATCCCCAAGAGTTCAGTCCCCAGCACCAATGGCCAAGCGGCGGAGCAGCCGTCTCAGCCGCCGCGGAGAACGGCGAGGCACGAGGAACTTAATTGGGAGGTTCTCATTCCGTTTGTCTTAGTTCCTGCGATGGGAGGTTCTCAGGTAAATGATTTTCAACTAACTAAATTGGTTTTTTTATTTATTTTTATCTTTTTAGGGGGTGAGGAGTCTATGTTTCATTTTTGTAGCAAATTTTGTTGTGTGGATACTCTTTTCAGAGGGTACGTTCGTCATCTGGTACGAGTTCATTGTGACCATTTAGATAGACAAGGCACAATACCACATGTCAAGTGGGAAAATTTGGTCGGCAAAATCGATCCAAAAGACATGCAATATTAAGTTGCTAGCATAATGATTTAGGTAGGCAAATTTGGAAGCCGTTCAACCAAACATGGCCAGCTTACAATCCCACTTCTAATTTGCCTATCTTTCTCATCATAATTCTCCAACCAAACACACCCTATGGGCTAAACTAATCCCATATTGAATGAGGTAGCTTATCTTCTGTGAATGACATAAAATTAAAGTGGGTCCTATATTATTATTTTTTATTTTAGTGAGACTCACATTAAATTTATTTCACAACATGAGACATACTCTTATGTAACATGAGATTAGTTTAAACCTTACATTATAACCTTTACTGCTAATACAATGAAGTTTTAATTATCCATTAAATACAAATTTAAGTAGTTAGGTGCAGTGTACTCCCAAATCATGGGCAAGGCCCAAATAGAAAAGCCAACTTGAACGTCACTCGTAGAATAAGTTTTTAACTTTGGATAGCCCAACGCGAAGCCAACTTGTCATCCAATGGAAAGCTACAACCTTCAAGACCCAAAAATAAAAAAACGTTATCTCCTTTTGGTCTCCATCTTCTCGCGGTCTTAAAGTTTATTGGGTTTTGGTGCTCGCGTACTCGCGGTTAGTATCTTCTGACAAAACAAAAATTAAATTGCAGTTCTATTATTAAGGTCCGAATTCTAAATTGTCATTTTCCTTTATATACTCAAAAAATTAATTGTTAGATCAAAATTATATTTATAATAT